ATAGTACTCATTAAAAATGATGGACTTTCCCCCATTATTTTCATTGTATCCTTGACTTAAGTACTTTTAATCTTCTCCTGGAGGGACAATTTAGACAGTGATTATATGGTCCCTAGTTTAATGTGTGTCACCAAATAAGACCATTTGTTCCTTGAATTACAATGAAGTGACATATACCCCCAGGTAAGTGTTGTCAGTATGCCTCAATTCCTGCTTCCGTGGAGTACTGACAGTACTGATCTTAGTTGTTTTTTTTTTTTTAAATTTTAATAAAATAATGCAGAGAGTGTATTTGGTAATGATCTTGCTATACAGCAAGCATTCAAAAATGCTAAAAAATGCTACTTCCATTTGAATCTGGCTTACAAGTAGCTAAATACATGCACCCTACTCTGCAGAAGTCATCGCTGCGAAAGCTGCAAGATCTTTAAGTGATGCGTGAGTAGCACATTGGAGCTCCGATGGGCTGGCTTTCCTAAGCCCATTAGACTGGATTCTTCTCGGTTTTTTTTAACCTTACAGGATTTCATACCCTCAAATTCTAAAATCCTCATTGTTAGGCTACTGCGTAAGTTTTCTGTGGTCTGAGCCCCAGATTTTCCATTTAACTTGATGCTTAGATGAGAAGATTGTTATAGCAAGGATGTCCTACCATTTCAAAATGATCTAATTTTGCTTAAACATTTTCAATCTCATGGCACAGGAGCATATGGGCAGATTATTTTCTGTTAAGGTCTGTAAACAAGTCTGGATGGTGCCTGGCAAAATGCCAGAGGGAGTGGTTTGAGAAGTAACAAAAGCAAGCCATTAAGTGTGGAGATTCCTTATTGGTTGACTGATGTATCTAGTTTATGCTGATTAAGATAAGCTGTGCAAAATGTATATATACCCCTCCTGTCCTACAATAAACGGCTCCTACTCCTGCTGTATAGATCTACACAAGTTATTCGTCACCCCCCAGTTATTTTGCTGCAGCCAGACTGCGGCAATTTTCTGAATTATGATCAAAGACAACACTATGATCCTCTCCGTGTTACCTGAACCAGAGTGATGGAGATACAGGCTTCTGCACACACAAGTATGTTTAGGGTTGAGACCAGAACCATGTATTCCAGGCAGATGAGACAGTGTAGTATGAGAGTCACGGTGCTTTGAATCTTCTTCTTTTTTAATTTTTTAAAAATATTTTTTAGTTGTCAAAATGGACCTTTATTTTATTTATTTATGTGCAGTGCTGAGAATCGAACCCGGTGCCTCATGCATGCTAGGTAAGTGCTCTGCCACTGAACTACAACCACAGCCCTCGAATCTTCTTTATGTTGCATACTAACTCTGTCCCTGATCAAGTTTCTTAATTCCCAAGGCCTCTTCTTTACAAATTGTAATGAATAGTAAACATATGTTTTCTGGCACCCACTGACACATTATTATTCTTCTGGAACTGAGATCTACAAACTTTTTATACCGAGAGATAGACCATAAATATTTTAGACTCTGGAGGACCAGGATCCTCTGTGGCAACAACCCCCTTTGGCCAATCTAGTGAGAACACAGCTCCAGGCAATATATAAATAAGAGGACATGGTCATGGTTGTGTTCCAATAAAACTTTAATTATAAAAACAGGTCAGGGCTGAAATGTTCCTGCAAGTGACTTTACAGACCTGTGTGCTATAAAGGAAGTATTGCAGCCTCCAAAACATAGACTTAGGTAATCGTTAGATCTTTAATACAGCATGCCAACTCCTCCTGCTAAAAAGTGACCTACAAGCAAGTGAACCCTGATGCAAATTGCTACTTACTTATCTGGTATTGTAACAGATAGCCAGTTAAGTTTCCATTTAGTTTCTTAGGTAGTCCCCAGGATAAAGTGGCAGTGTCTTTATCAACTTTGATGACTTTGAGAAAAGCTGGTTGTTCGGGCACTAGAAAACACAAAATCATAAACAAGTGGTAAGTTCCTAATAAGCCCTATTAGATTACAAATTGTTAGAGAAATTGAGGAGTTAACTCAAACAAGTATGTATTAACTATTAATAGGGGAGGCCATGTTTAATAAGGCCACTGGACAATTCCCATTGTTAAAACTATTATTCTACTTGGTTCTTTTCTTTTTAATTTTCTTTTAATTTTTTTAGTTGTAGGTGAACACAATATCTTTATTTTATTTATTTATATTTATGTGGTGCTGAGGATCAAACCCCGTGCCTTACACATGCCAGGCAAGCGCTCTACCACTGAGCCACAACCCCAACCTCTACCTTGGTTATTTTCTTACCTCCTTCTGGTGTTTGAAATATATAAGGCTCACTCTCAGGCCCAGCACCTTTGGAATTATAGGCCAAGACGGTCAAGTGAAATTCACTGAAGGGATCTAGGGAAGGGACCATTCCATAGTTTCTTTGTCCTGAAAATCTTAGAATGTTTACTTCCTTGGGATGCACTCTTCCATCCAAGAGACTCTTTGTTTTCCACCAATTTATCTGCAATGAAAACATGAGCCTTTTCACCTATCCATCACACATCAACTGCAGTGGCAGATTCTCTCTTGGCTTCCTCCAAAATTAGCTCACATGGCTCAGGAGAGACACAAACAGAACAATAAGAAAAGGGGTGATAAAGACCTGGTATCCTTTCAGATGCCCGTGCACCCTGTCCTTGGGGATTGTTGACCAGCCAACTTTCACCAACGTGCTGTTTATAACGTCCACCCCATGGATCACTGGCGCCGTGTCAGGATCTGTTAAGCACAGAAGGTTGATGAGCTTCTTTAACCACCTCTAAACACAAAGATGACAATCCTTCCCTAGAGGTGATTCTCATACTGCTTGATCTAGGGACAAGACTTTCATGAAATTAAATCTGAATGGAAACCAGATTTCCTCGTTTGGAGGAGTTCCTCAGCCCAAATGGGTTCCTGGAAGAGAATACCCCATACAAAACTAAGAAATGAGGCTCTCTGGAGGTTTATCACGTGGGCAAATGCAAAGGGAATTTAAAACAACATACCGGGAAACATCCTGTGGCCATCTTGTCCTTTAAAGCAAATGAACTACACCAGCAATATAAAATATGACTCGGGCATTCGTTTAATCAAATATTAAAAAACAAAAGCACTCATGGAACACATGCTATATGTCAGGCATGGTTCATAGGGTTATTCTAAAGATTAAAGTAGTCAACCTATGCAATCCTTAGAGTAATCTTATGAGATGGCTCTCATTATCCTCTTCTGCAGGGAAGAATAACAGCAAGGAATAAACCCTAAGACAGTACAGCCGGGACTACCAGGTAATAAGTTCTGAGTTCTACTCTTTCTATTTGAGTAGAAAAATCTGAACATCAAGTGATGCTGAAAGGAATGATCAAAATAACTCCCCATTTGTAATGATATGGAACACAGAGACTTCTCTTTCTCTAGTCATGCTTGCAGCAGTTCAAATGCTATTAGCAATTAGAAATATGATCATATCACCAGCACTTCCTAACTGCTGCGTGTGAGCATGAGTGTGTGTGTGTGTGAGCATGAGTGTGTGTGTGTGTGTGTACAATTCTATATACAGATCTGGGTCTGTGCCTTATTTGTAATAAGTCATCTCCAGACAGGCAGGTGAGGCCCATGGCTTGGCAGCAGAGAGCTGTTGGGAAGTCCTTCAAAACGAAGGGCAAAGCTAACTGCAGACTTTTAAAAGTTCAGGACAGTTTTATTGCTCAACTGAGCACAGTGATAATTTCAGGTCTTTGATATTCAAAATAGAGAGAGAACGTTTTTCTAGGAAAACAAAGATGAAACTTCCCAAGTACTTCTTCAGCACCCTGTATTGATCAACCATCCTGCACGCAACCTGAAAGTTATTTCTTTTACCTTTTCCAGCTCGTATATTCTCTTTGCATGCAGTAGGTGCTCAAAAATGCTTGTGGACATAAATGCACTACACTCAGGAAAAACTGTTCCTGAGTGGTAAGGGGTTTTTGGGTACAACACTTACAGTCTTCTCCAGAGTACAGGGTCACTGACTGCGGCTCAGGTGCAGCACCAAGCTGATTGACGGCTTGAACTTGGACGTCATAAGGTGCATAGACGGTAGCTGTCATCACCCTTAACGTGTGGTTTGTGACCGTTTCCTCTTCCCACTCCTCTGAGGTTCCCTTGGGCTTCCAGGACACTTTGTACTCCAGGCCGGGTCCATTCTGCTCCATGGACTTCAAAGGCTAAAATAGAAGCCAAAACACATTCCATGAATAGGTCAAGAAAAGGTGCCCAAACAGGATGGAGTTCTAAGCGGCCATGAAGAAGAATGGCATTCTGTCACTCAAAGATGAGTAGGTGGAACTGGAGAACATCATGCTGAATGAAATGAGTCCAAAGCAGAAAGTCAAGGGTTAAGTTTTTTTTTTTTTTTCTCATACACAAAAGCTAGAGAGAAAAAGGGAAAAGGGGGATTTCATGACAGTAGTGTACCCCTCCCTGCCTGTAAATCCCAGCAGCTTGGGAGGCTGAGGCAGGAGGATCCCAAGTTCAAAGCCGCCTCACTAAGCCATTCAGTGAGATGCTGTCTCTAAATAAAACATAAAATAGGGCTGGGAAGGTGGCTCAGTGGTTGAGTGTCTCAAAAAAAAAAAAAAAAATGAAAGATGAGACCAGTGGGAATAGGGTAAAGAAAGAGGGTCAGGGCAGGGAGGAGAGCAAGGACAAATAGTGGGGAATAAAACTGACCAAAGTATGTTAGGTGCATGTACCAATATGCCACAGTGAACCCTCTATTACACATGACTGTCTTGTACCAATAAAAAGGAAAACCGCATTTGATGTCATCATAGACATGTTAACCCAGAGACTGTAATGAGCCATCCATCCTAAGTGGTATAAGAAATGCTACAAGAGAGGATCACTTTTTTTTTTTTTTTTGGAGATCTTAAATACTCTTCTTTGGGTCAGAACAGTTGTAAAATATTGCTGTTATTTGCTTGCAAATCAGTTCTGTGCCTTCCTAAGTAATGGGAAGCCCACAGTTGAGATGCCTGAATTATGTTCCTTTGGTTAAATCTTAAGTTTTCATCTAGAAAACAGTTTACAAATACATTCCACAGAAAGTTTTAGCTGGTACAGGAACTTTCCATTATATATATATTATATTATCGCTCCAACATAATTTGCAGAAATGAAAAAGAGGTAGCCATGGATTCTTGAGTCATGAGTGGAATGTACATGGTTTTCCAAGAACAGCTCCCCTCCACTGGATTCCACTAATCTCATGCTCCATCTTTCTTCCATGACAGAAGAGAGACAATCTAACATTCATTCTAGAAAATAATCATATTTATACCCCAGAGCCCAGGAGCAGTAGTTCCTCTTTATACATTAATCATTCCGCAGCTTCTTAACTATTCTGTTTCGGATTCTTTAAGAGCATGTGCCTCTCTCATCCACTTTATTTTACTGTATACAAGTGTTTGGTGGAGAAACTTCTAACACAAGAAATTGATTATTCCCACCCTAGCTTTTAATTAAGCAATACTTTGATTTAAAAAACATTAATGTGATGTAAGCCACTTATTTAATTTCACAAAATGGGAATTTTATTTAAGCAATTCAGTTGTAGGAAATATATTTAAAATACAATTTTAATCCTGGATATAAAGTTCACTTACATTAACAGTAATTTCATTTTATATGTGGGTGATTCAAGAATACCATATATAATGTTCTCGCAGAATTTGTAATGGTTTTTTTTATTCCATCTAATTTACTAAAATACTTATTAGAAGCATTAGTTAGAATTAAGTTGAAAGTATCATGCTATTTCAGCAAATTATTTTAAGTTGTATGCCTATTCCAAGGTGAATACTTAAATTTTCTGTGAGCAAAAAAAAAAAAAAATCAAAGCAAAACAAAAAACTTTCTGAGCGATTCCACAATCATTGTTAATACTTGCATTTACTGAAAAGCTTTACTCCAAGACATTTTTAATACAAGCCAGATATAACTTCACCAGGGACTTTAGCGCTGTAGAAATGAATCAGCTATTAGCTCTCTACAGAGCAATCCAGAATTATAATTTCCTTCAGCCCCTCCTGACAATAAATGTGCACAGATAACGTTATTCAATTTATATGCGCTTTGCTCCAAGGACAAGAAGTAAATTTAATAAATTTCTCTAACAAATTTTAAAATAAACTGGATAAGTGCTCAGAAGAATCTTTTAGCTATGCTGACAGGTTCTTGGCTGACCAGACTTCTGAAGAAGCAGCAGGGTATTTGGCTTTAAAATAAGAATATTCTCAAATAAGCTCCCCAAAAGAGAACAGCAGAAGAACTAGAGTAGAGATACAAGGCTTGCTGTTACAGGTTAGATGAGGTGTCCCCCAAAAGCTCACATGGGAGACAATGCGAGGTTTGAAGGAGAAATGATTGTGTTATAGCCTTAGCCCCATCAGTGAGTTAATCCCTGATGTAATTAGCTGAAGACAGATGGCCACACTGCCTTAATTCTATTTACAAAAAAAAAGTTTGAACATTTTCATTTATTTTTAATTGACAAAAATTTTATTTATTTTATACAAGATGTCGTTTTAAGAAAGGCACACATTGTAGAAAAGGTAAATTGGGCTAGTTAGTGTATCTCACAAATAGACCTCAAATTATTATATAAAACATATCTGAAAAATATCAGATTTTTGCAGTGGGAACACTTTTTACAATCTATTCCCATAGCAATTTTCAAGAATACATTTTTCTAACTGGAGTCGCCAGATCATCTGTCTGGAGTCTACTAATTGCATGTTAAAGCAGGTAGATCATTTTATCACACTTTCAGCAGAAATAGTTAACCTCAGGTCCTTCAGGAGTTACACAAGCTGACTATACTCACAAAACCAGTAGATGAAGAAGCTTCTACTTTACAGTATTGGTAGAAAGTTTGGTAATTGGTTGGTTGGTTGGTTGGTTGGTTTGGGGGTGTTTTTGAAATGAGATATTTGTTATTTATTGAAAGAAGTTGAAAAATTCATACAAATAAAATAATGCTTATGAATAGTTGGGAACTGCCAAGTAAAAATTATTCTGATCTATGTAACTAACTAAGCTATAGAGGGCTCTTTTCTCTTCTGAGAAACAGGCCATTATATTTTAACACTTAAACAATATAGGTGAGTCATGGTCTACTTAATATATGAAAAGTAGACTTGGGAAGATAATGCCAACTAAGAAAACTAATTCTAGGATTAAATTAAAATTTAATGTTTACTCGAATTGAATTCTATTTAATGCGAAAACAAAATGAAATTAAGGGCACTTTTTTCTGCTGCTCATCGTTTAATCCTCTTATGAAAGATCAACTTTCAAAAAAAATTGTGTTTCCTTGATCATTTGCAGCTAGGAATAATTTTGTGAGTCAGTTGCTAGGGGTGGGGTCAGGTAACTCCATACAGTATCTGCCTGTCCATCCAGGCATCTACCTTCTTTCTAACAACTTCCCAGATGATTCATGCAAAACAAAACAAAACAAAAAACCAAATCTCAATGAACGAATGTTCTTCCACATGGCTGGCTGTGTCAGTAGTGGTCAGAACTGTGATACTTCACAATAACGTGAAACACAGTTACACACACATGAGTGTAACTGTCAGTCTAGTTCCAAATCCCTGTCTCTACTTCCTAGCGCCAGTCACTTAATTCACATGGGATTTGCTCTTCAAAGACAAACTATAAAACTTTCTTGGGATCGTCTCAACGCACTCAGAGAACATGAATTAGGTCTTGAGCAACTTTGGGGAGCAGAGAGTCACTTATAAAGAAGAGGAGCTGTAAGGTAGCTGGAGACTCCTTCCCTGCTCTTGTTACTGAGTCAGTGGGCAGCACCCAGGTGGGGGCACTAAACTCTGAGAGCCTCAGCTTCTCTGTACAAAAGATGCACCTGACTCCACCGTGCTCCATGGCGCTCCCAGTGGAGAGACTCGGAAGTTCACTTTGGTGGAACATGGGTTTCTCTGGGGCACTGACCTGCAAATTACACAGTAGTATTGTCATTTCACCAGTTCCACATCTATACCTTCTGGAAATTTCTATGGAACTTGGAAATTTCCATGGAACTTGGGAGGATAAAACCAATATACTCTCAAAGAATAAACGATTAGGGCTGGGATTGTAGCTCAGTGGTAGAGCGCTTGCCTCACATGCGTGAGGCACTGGGTTCAATCCTCAGCACCACATAAAAATAAATAAATAAAAATAAGAATATAGTGTCCTTGTACAGCTAAAAATATATTTTAAAAATAGAATAAATGGTTAACATAATTTCAGACTCATAAATTATCAAGATAATGTAGCAATAACTATCTATGACTGCAATTTTTTAAAAAAATTTAGCTACAGATGGACACATGCCTTTATTTTGTTTATTTATTTTCATGTGATGCTGAGGATAAAACCCAGTGCCTCACACATGCTAGGCAAGTGCTCTACCACTGAGCCACAAACCCAGCCCCTATGACTGCAAATTTAAAGACAAAATAATATTATAGAATATACCTAGTTTCTTAGAAGTACCATTTTTAAAAGAAATTTCCATATCTTAAATTTGCAAAATTTAACATCACAAAAATAGAAGTAAAATGTTAGTGTTTATATAAAAATATTGCTGAAATAATTTGTAAGGTCCGATCATGGGTGTACATAATGAATACAAAGACTATGAAGGAAAAAAAATAAAATGAACTTCATACATTTTAAAGTTCTATCACAGATCATATCTACAATAAAGTGGAAAAATAAATCAGTATATTCCAGCCTATGTTCTAAAATGTCCTATATTTATGCAAAATTCAGTGAAATCAATATTGGAGGCCTATGATTAATCAGATGGTTGAATGGTAATCTTTTTTTCATGCAGGACAATTTATTTCCTCATGAAATATGTCTAAGTTCTAGATGAAAACTGACATGCTTCACTGCTACAGAAGAAACTTGGAAAAATGATACTAGAATAACTGAAGTTATCCCAGAAGACATGATTTTTTCCCAAATGTAAAGAGGAAAGTCTATTTAACAGCATTTATTAGGGATATGTGAAGGGGGAAGGTAGAACTGAATGTCTAAACACATCCATATTTGAATCCTAGCCTTTTTTTTTTTTTTTTTTTTTTAGTACTGGGGATTGAACCAAGGGGTGCTTAACCACCGAGCCACATCCCCAATTCTTTTTATATTGTATTTAGAGACAGGATCTCACTGAGCTGCTTAAGGCCTCACTAAGTTGTTGAGGTTGGCTTTGAACTAGCGATTCCTCAGTTTTCCAAGTCGCTGGCATTACACCACGGGCCCTGGCACATCAAGCTTAATTCTGGCTTTGTTCACTTCTGCCTGAGCAGGAAGCGGGAGACCCTCACCATCTCACATCATCTCAGATCCCAGTTTCTCCAGCTAGAACATGGTGTTACTGATGCTCTAAGAATTAGAAATGAATGTGCAAAATGGCCACAGGGGTTGGTGATTGTTACTTTCGGGAGGTAGGGTGGAGGGGGGCTGTTCACCCATTGGCATTGTCCTTACTAAGCCACATAGTTAAAGGCTTTCTGTATCTTTTGAATGTGAGAGCATCTAAACATGGATGGTGAAAAGATGGGGAATCTGAAACTTTCAGTAAGACACCAACCGCATCCACCTGTAGAGTCCTGCTTGAATGATTTGCCAAGGCTCACCTCTGTGTCATAACTTCATGGAATCACAGTGGTCCTTCACATTGCAAACATACATTGCTCTGTCCTTAACCAGAGACACCAAGAAACCCACAACACATCGTGGAATACGCACCTCCCATTTGATGATCATCTCCTTGGGCTGAGACGCTTCCACCCTTATGTTTTCTGGGTTCTTGTCTGGAGCTGAAAAAATGACAAGCAACAGAACTATTTTTTCTCCTTACTTTGTAACCAGTAGATAAATCACCATATTATTCCCCTCCAAAACTACCCAATGGGTAGTACTGGGTTTGGGACACATCTTAGGTTTAAACCTCCTTATTTAAATTCTAACCCTGTCTTTTGAAAACGTATTTTTCATTCTAAACCTGCTGTGTTTTTTCTGTTAGAATTGTTGGTCGATATAAATGTTGTGAATGTTTGCTTCTGAGAGAAGAAAATTAAAGCTCACGAATTAACACCATCAGCCAAGTTTTAAGGACACGATGTAGCAAACAGCATGTCATGCCACCATGAAATATATTCAGATGGATCCTCTGTATTAGAAAAAGCTAAGCAGGAGGTGAGTGCTGAGTTCAAGGCACACTGAAATCATACAAGTATCAAATCCAGTTATCTCCCAACTTGCTTTTTCTCAGTCCAAAAAAGGAATTATATCCTTGCACATTTATTTCACTCAGGAAAAAAATAACTATCATGCTGGACAGAGGGGTGCACACCTGAGGTCCTAATGACTCGAGAGGGTAAGGCAGGAGGATTGCAAGCTTGAGGCCCACCTCAACAATTTAGGGAGACCCTGTCCTAAAATAAAAAATAAAAAGAGGTCTGTATATGATTCAGTGTTAAAGTGCCCCTCCTGGGTTCAAAGCCCCGGAGATGTGTGTGTGTTGTGTGTGTGTGTGTGTGTGTTTGTGTGTGTGTGTATGTGTTTTATATATATGTTATATATTATATATATGTAAAAAAGTATATATGTATACACACACACAAAAATCTCCTGGGCATTGAACCAAGAAGTGACACTTTAACCACTGAACTACACACACACAGCCCTTCTCCCCAACTCCCTCCATATATATGTGTATATGTATATATATATACACACACACACACACACACACACACATACACACATATACATATATGTACACACACATATACACACATACATGTATATATATGTAAATATATACATCCACCTGTAGAGTCCTGCTTGAATGATTTATAAAGGTTCACATCTGTCACAACTTCATTGAACCACAGTGATATATATATATATCATATATGTTATGACCACACTGATTTTTAATTCCAATTCACCAACACAAATTATTTGAGATCTATATTCGTGAGATTTAAAAAATAAGGAGTATTCTGCCAACTTAAACAAGAAGATACAAGAAATACTTGTAGGCGTAAGATGAATAAAATTTAACCGAGTGTCCTAGTCAAAAGTTGACATCAGAATACTGGATCCCTGGCACCTCCACCCGTGGGTCTTCGGTGGAGAGCTCCTCTCTGGTCCGAGTGAAGCATGATGTTTAAGCGACAAGGAGACTCATCACCGCGCTGTGTTCTCCCAGACCACCCTCCCGTCTATCCAACATCTAGGTAAATATTTCTGAGACCAGGGTACTTTGAACACCTTATGCTTCCTTACTTTACAGAGCTATTCAAGCTATCTGGACAAATCTGAAATCCTATACAACTTTTTAAAATTTTTTTAATTGAATTAATTTTAATTAAATTAATTGTTAATTTAATTTTTGATTAAATTCTAATTTTTTTTTTTTTTGATATACAAAGAAGGATCCAAAGGCACATTCTGCTAGACACCTGAGGAGACACCCTGCTCACCTGCCGGAGGTGTGTCATGATGCTCCGAAGGCGGGCTAGGCTGACTTCTCCCGACCTCGTTCACGGCGACCACCCTGAACTGGTACCTCACATATGGGGCCAAGGGCAACAGGGCTGTTGTCTCCTTTCCTGGGACTCTGGTCAGCTCCTCCCACCTGCCAGGTTCCTCCCGGTTTCCTTCAAATTCGATGATGTACTCTGTCGGGAGGAACCAGGGGAGCACGTTAGAACAGGTTGGTTAGGCTGAAGGTCTGCCAAGATTGACACCAAACAGGAAGTGTTCAAAGGGGCCCTTCCAGTGTGACTCTGTGGGCTAAGGAAAATGATCATTCCAAGTCTTCCTACCGCTGATATTGCTGTTGTGGTCCTCGCCAGCTTCCCAGGTCAGCCGGACACTCCTGTTCTCTCTTTCAGACAAGTGGAGGTTTTCTGGGGGATCCGGAGCATCTAATGAATCACGTAAGGCAAAGGTAAGGGAAATGGAGGCCCATGCCCTCTGCTTCCCTGCTTCCCTGACCCCCCGGCTCAGACCCACTGCCCACCTGCTGTCCTCTCTGGGCCCAGGTGTTTCCACCCTGCTCCACTCAACTCTCCCCAGCCTAAAGCTTCTGTTTCAAACAGAGGGATCTCCCAGCAGTTCTGCAGTTGGACATATC